ACCACGTGATTCTTAGGCTGTCCAACTTGGAACAACTGGCCTAATGTCACCAGGTACCAAATGGTCATGTTCAGGGTTTCTGGCATTAACATTCTCATAGTTTCTTGCCCAATGGTTGTTCCAGTTCTGAAGTTTCATTGTAACTTTCCACCGCCACCCACTCCCAACAGCCAGTTTGTACACTTATCCTGATGATGCTTGTGACTCTTAGTGGGAGCAACTTCCAGCACTGAGGACCTTTTTCTTCAAAAAAAAAAAAAAAAGACGGGGAAGAGTGGTCCGAATTGGGTAATGAAGGTACCTCACCTCAGCCATTGAATTCACTTCGCTGGCCTGGCAATATTTCTTTGGATTTTTTTTTTTCCTCTTAAAATATAAGAACATAATGTAATTTTTAAAGTCAAAGAGTTAATCTGCCCACATAGTTTTGCTAATATTACTGAGTATGGAAAAGTTACATTATTAATTGTGTCAGATAATTATGGCAACACATACTTCTGTTTAAGATTTAGTAGAAAATAGTCTAGTAGTAAATAGAGGGCCAGATTATTTTGGGTGGCTATAGTAGTAGTTTAAAAGTTCTAGCTCTGGATGTAGAATAGTACTGCTACAGCTAGAAATGTATCTGCTGTTAGAATGATGCCTTGACACCTACTTAAAACTTAGGCAGAAGCCGGGCGCGGTGGCTCACGCCTGTAATCCTAGCACTCTGGGAGGCGGGCGGATTGCTCGAGGTCAGGAGTTCAAAACCAGCCTGAGCAAGAGCGAGACCCGTCTCTACTATAAATAGAAAGAATTAATTGGCCAACTAATATATATATATAAATTAGCCGGGCATGGTGGCTCATGCCTGTAGTCCCAGCTACTCGGGAGGCTGAGGCAGGAGGATCGCTTGAGCCCAGGAGTTTGAGGTTGCTGTGAGCTAGGCTGATGCCATGGCACTCACTCTAGCCTGGGCAACAAGCGAGACTCTGTCTCAAAAAAAAAAAAAAAAAAAAAAAAAAAAAAAAAAAAACTTAGGCAGAGAAATCAGATACATAATTTGCAGAGCTATTGTTCAGAAGAAAAGATAAACCTAAGTATCAGAATCATTAAATAAAGTATTTGGACCATAGAAGACAGAAGTTGAGAAAGAGTTCTTGGTATTACTGGCATCCTTTTACTGCAATGGAGTTTCTGTTTTGTTTTGTTTTAACATTCCTAGGGCAGAGTTCTTATTTCAGTTGCATCTTGCAGGAAGGGTAGGGAAAAATGCTATGCCATCCAAAATAATAAGTTAACTACAAAGCCATTCAGGTTATTTATTACCACATAAGTGTAATATTATATTTAGAAAAGGCAATGGTTCTTCACCAAACTATTTTTTTTTTAATTTCAGAATATTACAGTGGTACAAATACTTTGGCTAAATATATTGCCTTTGCCCCACCCAAGCTGGAGCTACAAGCTTGCCCAACCCACAGACATCATGCACCATACCCATTAGGTGTGAGTTTACCCATCCCTGCCTTCCCTGCCACCTACCCAACACCCTATGAATGTTATTTCCCATATGTGCACATTAGTGGTGACTGATTAATACCAATTTAATGGTGAGTACATGTGGTGCTTGTTTTTCCATTCTTGTGATACATCACTTAGAAGAATGGGCTCCAGCTCCATTCAGGATAATACAAGAGGTTCACCATTTTTTTTTAATGGCTGAGTAGTACTCCATGGTACACCTATACTACATTTTATTAATCCACTCATGTATTGATGGATACTTAGGTAATCTGGTATTGGTACAAAAATAGGAATATTGACCAGTGGAACAGATCTGGGAGGCTGAGGCAGGAGGATCGCTTGAGCCCAGGAGTTTGAGGTTGCTGTGAGCTAGGCTGACGCCACGGCACTCACTCTAGCCTGGGCAACAAAGCGAGACTCTGTCTCAAAAAAAAAAAAAAAAAAAAATGGAGAAATTTTTTCAGAAGTGGTGAAGTTATAAGTGACATGGCAATTTTGTCATGTAAGTAATTTCTTGCAGTGTTATCTTTTTAATTATTTCCTCTAATCAGATTTAATTCTTTGGAATTTGTGCATTCAAAATGTTGGTTAAAAAAATATTGCATGATATAAGTCTACTGCATAGTGAAGTTACTTTTATGGTATTTGTTGAATTAGCTCACTTTACCTTGCTAGATCAGAAAGGTGACTTTTTCTTGTTTATTCATTCTTCCAGAGTAATAATCTGCAATGGACAAGAAAAAAAAGGAAATAAAAAAGAATATACTTACCTGATATCCTGGAACTCACACTTGCATATTGTGGTTTTCATCTGACCATACAAGATAGTTTAACACCAGTACATATATATTTATGTATATACAACACATATACACACATGTGATATGTATATAATGATTTCACAGATAATTTTAATAAATGAATATTAATGAATTTTATATTATGTATTTCTTGTTTTAAAGTTATCTCACACTATTTCTGCTGGTCTGTGGGCAAGAGTAGTATTTGAGCAGACCCGTGAGGAGATTAGCCAGGTCTAAGATAGGGGTGGCCACAGAGGATAAGGAAATTGATAGGCAACAGAGAGAAATAAAAAATATCAGAGACTAAGGTATAGTTTATAGTTTTATATGTATATATAAAGGTCAGATAAAACACAGCGGGAGGTTCCTAGGGGACTGGTGGATCTCCATAACTGCCAGCATAATGGTTAGATTCATACAGGTTTTTATAATCACAGACATCAACTACTAGTTGTCAGGGTAACATATTTGCATATCAGGGAATGCAGTTGCTAGGGATAAGGTAGTGGGTTAGGATCAAAAGTCCTCTCAAGGGCTTCTAATCTATGTGAACAAACAGGTAACAAGTCTTTCAGGGGCTAACTTCTAAAGAGGTAGTAGTTGTTCGATAACAAGGTAAAACAAAAGAGGTATAGTGACTGTATATATCTTTGATTAGTTATGGTGGACTTAAAGGTAGACAGACAATAGAGAGCAGGAAGCCCATCTCTAATAAAACAGGTTGTTTATCACCGGGGCGTTCTCTGGCAAAGTGCACTCACTGTCTCTGGCTCCCATCCGTGTGGGCCATATTGCCTTGTCTTGTCTTTCAAGACACAGGGAAGCTCACAGATTTTGAAATACCGGGAAGCCTTCCTAGAAAACATCCCCACGGAGATTTGAGAGCTCTCTAATTAGCACCTCTAATAAATGAACCACTGAGTCCACACATTCTTCAGGGAAAACCCTGTAAACTCCTGTTTCTGTCTTTTTTTTTTTTTTTGAGACAGAGTCTCGCTTTGTTGCCTAGGCTAGAGTGAGGGCCATGGCGTCAGCTCGCTCACAGCAACCTCAAACTCCTGGCTCAAGCAATCCTCCTGCCTCAGCCTCCCAAGTAGCTGGGACTACAGGCATTGCGCCACCATGCCCGGCTAATTTTTGTATATATATTAGTTGGCCAATTAATTTCTTTCTATTTATAGTAGAGACGGGGTCTCGCTCTTGCTCAGGCTGGTTTTGAACTCCTGACCTCGAGCAATCCGCCGCCCTCGGCTCCCAGAGAGCTAGGAATTACAGGCGTGAGCCACCGCCGCCGGCCCCTGTTTCTTGTCTTTAACATAGTAATATGGGTTATACAATAGAATATGATCTTAATAGGTCATATTTCATTAATTCCTCAATCATATTTCCCAACGCTAGTCATTAGGTAGGCACTAATTCCGCTAGTAGGCAGAATACCAAGGAAAGATTATATATAAATAAAGGCAGTGCCATGATTAAGGCCCTTGTTATATTTTAAATTGCAGTGGTATGTTATTATAGTACAATGGTCCATAAACCAATCAAAAGACAATGATCCTAAGATTTGAAAAAAAAATATCTTCACTTTATCATGCTGATAAAAGATACATTTTTAGGTACATAAATGTTCAAAGTAAAAGGTTGAAAAAATGTATGCCATGAGAACTTTAATACAAAATAAGCTGATAGACTTTGACGCATTAGTGGAGATAAAAGAAAAAGTGTTTCATAATGCAAAAGGAAGCTATAGTAATTTAAAAATTATCATATGCTGTGACTTTATTAATATAACTTCAATCAATATGATAGAACAAGAAAGACAATTAGAAATCAAAATATGATAGAAAAGAAAGACAATTAGAAAAATCATCAAATGTAGTGAGGAACTTGAACAACTGATGACAAAAATGGTCTACTTGATGCATAGAACAGTATATCCAACAACAGCTACAAAACAATATATATATATAAAGTAATAAAGATGTACTGACATATCTCATAGCTTGCGGTTTGTATAAAACAAGTCTAACCGATTTCTAATGACTGAATATTTCAGATTATATTTTCTAACTAAATTAAGATAAACATATCATAAAAATAAAAACATGCCACAGTTTTACTGAAACTGAACTGATCAAAAGAAAAAAGGAGAGCCTTGTCCTATTGTTGTTCATGCCAGAAGATTCCACACAGGAGGGAAGGGCTGGGTAGGGAAGGAGGAGGGTCCCTCAAGGGACAGAATTTCAGAG